TGAGTCGTGTGTTTGAGTATTTGGGTGTGTACGCAACGTTGAGTTGTTGACTTTGATATAGCTGGAAACTATTAGCTGATTCAAGCTTGCAGTTAAAATAAACACAGAAAAGTCATAAATTGCACAAAATAACACATTTTTCCAAATGATTTTCAAGTGCGATTAAAATCACCCGAGCTGGACGATTTCATGAAAATCGTTGCAACTCATGTTTAACTAAAACCTGCACGTTATGCGCCGTAGTCTCACCAAAATCCTGTCACACATCACTGATCTCCTCTCGATCATCAGAGGAACTGAATCGTTTTGGAAAGAACGACGACAGCTTGTTTGCATTATATATTCTCAAACTGGATCATTGTCTATATTTAAAAAAAATAGACTGAAACGGCAAAACTCACATTAAAAAAATGTCCCATTTGACATAAAGGCAGCATCAACATTAAGGCCAAAAACAGGGAATGTGCCTGGCTCTGCCAAGTTTAAAGAATCTGACTGCAAGCATGTCTTCACACCGCTATTCAACACTCTGCAGGCTGATTTTTAACCCCTACAAAGCTGAAAAAAGATTGTTGTGTTGCTGTACATTTAATCTCAAACTCTTTGAAATCATTGACCGGGTCAAGAAAGAGTCTCATGTTTGACATTTCTCCTGGTTACTTACTTACAAAAGGAAAAACAGTTACACTGACGACAACCACATTTGGTATTTTATGCAACAGTTTATAAAAGGCATTAAAAAAAAAAGAATATTCATACATTTAAAGAGACAAAATATGACATGAATTTTAAATCATTATGGAAAAAAACAGCACAAACTGAGCTCATTAAATCAACAAAGACAGCTATTTATGTAATGCTACATAAATTAGAAACCATTTCATTGGCTAATCCCATAGGTTAAACATCTGGACTCCCATCATGTTGGCTTTAATTTAAACACAACTAACTACAAAGCTTCCCAAGGCTCGCAGCATCTGTCGACTCTGTGCTGCCCGACCCCCTCTGATGAAGGACCCGCCTGTCGTCCCAGTTGGACAGCAGCGCTAATGCTAAGAGACAGATACCTCGTTAGCACTGATAGCATTTGCCTGAGGGTAAACATCTATTGTTAGCATGATAGCATGGCCCCACAGGGGATGGTTATTTCCAGTGTGAGTCTGCTAAGGGTAGATGGTCTTGCTGTTAGCATGTTAGCGCTGGCCTCAGAGATCTGCACCAAGGACACACACACATTCACAAAGAAAGTAGACGAGGACATCTGTCAGCACATATGTGTCTGATCTAATACTGATTCATTGATTAGCAGTTTGGCAGCGATTTAGCAAACTTAGAACCAAACAACCAAACAAACAAAAAAACAGATGAATGAGTACATTTCAGCAGTTTGATTTTAAAACTGCAAAAAGTGGATTCTTTTTTGAGTTTTGGTCAGTCTGTGGACCATTTATTAAGAAGTTTACTCAGGAGAAACAAAAGCATATTGAATCAACAGCTCCACGGCTGGAAGAAAGACTGAAGAACCTATTAATTAACAGTTGTTCTCTGAATTTGAATGCATCCGAATAGCTTTACTTCCAGTGTGGGTGGGTGAGACAACCTGGAGATTTAACCATATTTGCTTTATATCTGTAAATGTATAGCGATTACACAAGCTTATAGGTCAATTACTGCCAAAAGAGGGGTTGATGTTTCACTAACCTGACGCACCAGATGTTTGTTATGCAGAACCATCTGGAAGGTCATCATCGTAAACTGTTTAGAAAAAGGCCAACACTAAAAAATAGGTTATTGAATTACAAACAGATGTCTGTTGCCGTGTATGAACTTTTGAACTCTCACTGTTTTTAACTTTGACACATAACATCAATGAACCACTACCAGAGGAACCAGCATGGCAACAAAGTTCAGCTCAAACTCAAACAGTAGATTGGCCAAATGCTGTAGCCCCAATCAACTGATAGGTCAGATAGTTTCCTTTTACACTTGGAGAAGCTGAATGTCATACAGGGTTCAATATTTATGCATTTGGGTCTCAGGTTTTCACTTGATCAGTGTCAGTGCCATAGACAAAAGCCTGTAATGATTAAATACTCTCCAGCTCTGACAAACAGTCATGTCCTGGTCGTTGTGTCCTTGGGCAAGACACTTTACCCTACCGCCTACTGGTGTTGGCCAGAGGGGCCGATGGCGCGATATGGCAGCCTCGCTTCTGTCAGTCTGCCCCAGGGCAGCTGTGGCTACAACCTTAGCCTCCGCCAGTGTATGAATGTGAGAGTGAATGAATAGTGGCATTGTAAAGCACTTTGGGTGCCTTGAAAAGCGCTATATAAATCCAATCCATTATTATTATTATCATTATCATTATGTCAGGAAGAAAGCTTGACGTTAATAACCATCACACCTAAAGCGCCTCTATAGCTACCAATGTAGGAAGACCAAGTACTGGGTCCAAGTGCTTAGCTTGAAGTTGAGTGTACTGGCAGTTATGCTTTGTGAATGAGCCAAAACATTAAAAGAAGTGAGAAGTGCATAGCACTGAGCTTCTTGCAGACCTAACTTAGATTGTAAATCTGCTGAGTTACATGCCCTGTTAGCAGCAGCACTCCCCGATGGCAGTCGTCTCTCTCCCGATTAGTGTCAAAAGCCTTCCAACTCCCCAGATTCCAATCAAATCAGGCCTCAAAGGGATGCATATGAACAAGCCTGAACTATGGAGGCAACCAAAGGTCCACCACCAAGCTGGTACAAAAGAGGTCATGATGCATTCGCAGTTTTGTGCAGTCTGTACCTTTGCAGATCAGGACTGATCTGGCAGCATAGAGGGGGGGGGGGGGTGTAACAAAACATTGGCACAGGTGGTTTTAATATTGCTGCTCACTGGTGTAGATGCCTCCTTCTTTCCTTCTTTCCTCTCAGGTTTCACTTATTTTAGCCTAAATGGGGATTTTTCTGGGTGATGATACACAAATATGGACATGTTTTGATTCAGTCTAAATCCGGGAGGACCATAAAATGAGCCAGTGATTTACAGAATGACTTTTGGAGCCTCAGCAGTGAGTATTATTTTGTCTTAAGACTTAATCCCTGACTGTGAAGGATCTCAGAGTAATTTGATTAGAGCTATTGTGTGTACGGGGATTTAGCATGTGGGAGCGCTTTGTGTGAAACAGGAAGCTGCTCTTCATCAGCTACACAGCGGCAGATAAGTCAGCTGCAGAGATGATGTCTGTTTACCATGAAGATAAGGACACTTTATCATCTGTTAGCTTATTACCACATGGAGATTGGGCTGTTCTGTGTTGATGGGAGGAAGAAAACCCACTGGAAGCGCTGATAAAACAATAAACATGCATGAAAAATGGCAGAGTTCAGCATATTCAGAAGTGTTCATGTTTGTTTGAAGAAGACTGTTAAAAATGCCAAAGAAAGGCGACCCGAATGTGACAAGATAACGCTAAGAAGAAGGAAAAAAGCTGTCATGGTTTTGCACCATTAAGTCAAAATCAAGCACAGTGTGACTGAGGAGTCATAATAAAGTGTACGAGCTAGATTTTACTCGTGGATTGTTTGCTGACCTGGATTTATGGACAACTGGAGCTTAAAAACAAGACAGACAATGAGACAAATGGCATTATTAGAGAGAGAGAGTAAGTGCGAGGGAAGAGAACGGGAGGTGAGCGAGAGGCCAGAGGATGGAGGCAGATGACGAGGTTTTTGCTGTTGATGTCACGCTGGTTTGCAAACAGCCAGTGAACTCACAGGTCACAGGAAGGTAGGCATTACTATGAGCACTGGCACTCTGTAACCTCCGGCCGAAGGCACAGAAGCAAAATGAAGCAGATGTGGGACGAGAGAGACAGCTGGCCTTTAAAGGGACAGTTCTCCCCAAACACTCTGGTCTGTAGTGTTTTTCATTCACTTCTGTTTATTCTGGATTGTTTTGATGTGAGATGCCCAGTGTGTCAGAGATGTCTGTCTTCTCTTGAATGTAATTGAACTAAATGGTATTGCCTTGTGGGACGAAAATTAAAAATGGCAGCGTTGCTGTCTCTTTCCAGAAATCGTGACCCAGTAAGTAAAAAAAAAACAAACTCCATAAACCTCCAGGAGCAGCGTCGTGTTAGAAGGTTTTTCCTTCTGCTGAGAAACGTTTCTGTTACTACGTCTAACGAAAGACTCGTGGCTGTGACCATGTGACAGGATGTAAACATTAATTTCCTCTGATGTTAGCTAGCAACATAGTTTTTTTTTGTTGTAGTTGGTGATGTAAATAATGGAATAATGGCCTGTTTTATTTTTGAGTAAATGTGTCAGAAAAGACACAAATGCTGGGGCACTGAGGATAACAATAAGAGTCCACTGATTAATATTCAGCAACAAAAAGGAAGAGAAATGCTAACGACAGTGACATTATCACTTGCAACTGATTATTCTGCAGAAACTCTACATTCTTAGTTATCATGTAACTACATGTAACCCCTTTACCGCATACGCCGTTACCTTCCATGGCGACCACGTCGACCTGATGTGTGGTCATATTTCTCAGGAGGTGCACGTCAGGTTCTGTGGAAGGTTAAGGGTAGATTTCCCACAGAAGTCTAAATCAGGTCACATGTTTTGAGCAACGTTTAGTTTCATTAAACAAAAGAAAAGAAAAGATGTGGGAGTGGGTGTTGGGGCAATAACCCACTGCCCCCCATCCTTCCAAGGCCCATGGTCTGAGTCAAATTTGTTCCCCTTTTCAGATCTTGGTATATTAAACATCGTCAGTATGTTGGAGTCATATCTAACCACGTCTATGTGTTTAATGTTACTTCAGTTATATGAGCTGTAAAGATTTATTTTGTCAGACATGTAATAAACACACTTGTGGAAACTTTGTTCCAGTAGATGTTGGGATTTGTTAGTTTGGCTCCAAATGGCAGACGGACTAAAGCATTCAAAAATGATCTAAATAAACATTAATGAAACCCTCTTGTTCTGTGTTTCTGTACCAGTCTGCTCACAGTTCTCTAAGGGAGTGTACGCCATCATGGGTCTGTACGACCGGCGGACGGTCAACATGCTGATGTCCTTCTGCGGGTCTCTGCACGTCTGCTTCGTCACGCCGTCCTTCCCCGTGCAGACCAACAACCAGTTCGTCCTGCAGCTGCGGCCCCAGCTGCAGGAGCCCCTCATGGCCCTGCTCGAGCACTTCTACTGGACCAGGTTCGTCTACATGTACAGCTCTGAATCAGGTGAGGACGCCAGCATGCAGCACAAATGGTTTCTCTGTATCAAGCTTCGTGTTGGAGTGCCTGTTCAGCAAGCAGTGCAACATTACTTGTGAGCAAAGTGTGCGGGTCTGAGGAGGGGGCGGGGTTAAAGAGCACGTGTTTGTTCGTCCTCGATGTTCTCAGACTCTTTAGTCTGAGTGGAGAACTGAAAGTAAGAGAAACCTGGATTTAGAAATCAATTTGTTCTAATGTTAACGTGATGCTCTTGGTGGGTATAAAAACAAAAATAGATATCTGGAAGATTATTTTATTTTATTACAAAACCAAAGCTTTAGAAATGACAAACAATGAGTTACGGTAACATTGCGGTAAGTCTGAAGTTTTCTCATGTCAGCAAACAGAAAAAGGGGAAAATATGTCTGGTTGGCCTGACACTGAAGCATTCAGGGTCAGCATATCCAGGATAGAGAAACAAGAAGAAGCTGGTTGTCAAGATCAATCTGTGATATTAGCAAAATATGTGAGACATCAATCAACAGTCAAAGCAGCGTGAGTGTGCGTGACGAGGGAAGTGTTGTACGGCGTTTTATTTTTAACAGTCAGGAAGGAAAGAGCTCAGTGTGCTCAATGAAAGCTAATAGGCTAATCGCTTTCACGGCGCTATCATCCAGGCACGCGGCGCCATGGCTGTAATTACAGATGTGTATTCCAGTAAATCAGCGTGTCGCTCCGATGGCTTCTTCTGATGTGTGACACAGTTTCACACTCCGCCTTCTAGCTGCAGCTGCCTGCGCTTTTAGGAGAAGATCACTGCAGATGCTTGCAGCCTCGTCCTCAGGCTCTGCGTTCATACAGACAAAGACTTTAGACCATCTGAAACTGTAGACGTGACAATAGTGAACAACATCTGCCACGTGTGCAATTTCAGCTGATCATAACGAGCTGCAAAAAAAGGACACGTCTCTGTGGTTGACTTCAGGCTGCTGAACATGAACTTAGTGTTTGTCTGGCTACTGAAAGATTCACTTGTGCAGACACAAACTTTGGATTGTGTCCTGAAAACTTCACCTCCAGCTCTTTGGTTCAAGCAAACAACAACCTTTGGAGAATTGACCAAAAAAGGTCTCTTAGCTTGGTCGGCCTCCCTCCCTCCTGCGCCAGGCCGAGTGTCCCCCCGCAGCCCGTGATCTGTTATAGTCCATTTGGCAGTCGGCAGCAGACTGTCTAATCTTATTGCCTCTTTTACATCTACCCGGGAAGTGTTATTGGAAGTCTATGTGGTGTAATAGTGCATGGCTGTCTGCCTCGGCAGTGCAGTCTGTCTGATGTTATTGCTCCTCGACATCTGCTGAGGACACTGGCTGTCTGTTGGAGGCAGAGGGGATTTCCTGAGGCCGAGCGCCTCCAGCTCAGCTCTGATTTACGTCCACTCTCAGCGTCTGCACAAACAGGAGGGTCCCTGCTGGGGATGAAATGGAACAGTCAATCAACAGTCAGGCTTCAGTCAGACTGCAGTAATAGTTTAAGTAGTTAGAAAGAAAAATGGTTTTCAGAAATCCGAATTCACTCGTTCGTTTCTTTTTGACTTCAGGCTCAATTATTTACTCTTTAGAAATGTGTGAAAAAGAGGAGAATCAGACTGAAGGACTGGATACTGCAACTGGAAGAATTCTCAAAGTGTCTGAAACGAATGACTTAACCAGCCTTTTCCATAAAATACAGATTTAAATACTACAAAGCCCTGCGACAGGCCGGGGCCTGTCCAGGGTCTACCCCACCTCTCACTCCATGCCAGCTGGGATAAGCTCCACCCCTCCCCAACCATGACAACCATGAATTGAAAAAGCAGAAGAAAATGGATGGCTAAGCAGCAGTGGACTGAAATGGTTCTGACTAATTCAAATTCATGTGACAGAAAAACTGAAAAGAAAGGTTAGAGAGGAAAAGTTGGATTTTATGTTATAAGAAATCTGGACTAAGGTAAAGACTGAATTTAAAAAGTTGGCCTGGAGTAAAGTTATGTGAGGAAACTGGAATGACCTTTCACATGAGAGAAAAAGCTTCTGTGCAAGCGTGCTCTCCTTCTCCCTATTTTTCCTGCCTCGTTCTTTCCTCTTCCTTTCCCCTCTTCGTCGTCGGGTTACTTCTCATTACTCCGTCTCTTCTTCTGTTCCTGCTCGCTGTACTCTCAGCTTGTACCTCTCAGTAAACGCAGTGTTGAGAGCCTATTTTCTGCTTGGCTGCTGGTGGACGACTCACAGCCACAGGCTCAGCTCTGCCTATTTAGTGTGTGTGTGTGTGTGTGTGTGTGTGTGTGTGTGTGTGTGTGTGTGTGTGTGTGTGTGTGTGTGTGTGTGTGCACCACAAACACATGTGTACGACTTCACTAACCTCGCCATTTATTACTAAATGAACTTGCCGGCGTGTTCGAACCTTATTCAACACATGGACAGATAAAAAGTTATCAAATCTGACTCATCCCATAATTGTCTCTCTGTGTTGTTGCCATGGATACAGACTTACAGATGTGAGAGCCTGCTGAAAGCAGAGTAGTTACAGTGAAGTGTTTTCAGCCCTCCATCATTTCATCCTCCTCTGAGCCCTGCCCTCCTCGTCTCCTTTCACCTTTTCCTCCTTCAGTCTGACATTTCCTGTCCTTCCATGTTGTAAAGGGTTTTTTTCACTCTCATTTGAAGGATTTTTAGGAATGTTTTCTTTGTCTCTGTCCAGGATCTGAAGATGTTTTCACTTTTTTCTAGTGAGGAAAACCACAAAGATCTATGAGCTGTAGCTCTGCAGAGTCCGACCTGCACTCCTTCCATTTAGACAGATTTCCACCCGCCCTCGCTGGCGAAGGGCCAATCACAGCCGCTGATCTCATACAGGGCTGATTTGATTTGATGGCCACATGTAACCATACACAGCAGAATGTTATTTACTCAGTTTGATACATCATGAGTGATGATGTTCTAAATGTTTGAGAGAACTTCAATAAGCTGATCAGAGTAACCCACATGGAAAAGAAATAGAAAAAACTTATAAAAGACTTGCATCAGATGTGGCCTACTTCATATAGTGAATCATAGAAGGCTTATATGATTTACTCATGAAAGTGGCCACTTTCTCATTACTTTCATATATTGTTTTAGTAAGTAATAATAATGGATTGGATTTATATAGCGCTTTTCAAGGCACCCAAAGCGCTTTACAATGTCACTATTTATTCACACACTGGTGGAGGCAGCTACAGTTGTAGCCACAGCTGCCCTGGGGCAGACTGACAGAAGCGAGGCTGCCATATCACGCCATCGGGCCGATGGCGTGATATGACAGGGGTAAAGTGTCTTGCCCAAGGACACAACGACCAGGACAGAGAGCCCGGGGATCGAACCGGCAACCTTCCGGTTACAGATGCGCTTCCCAACCCCCAGCGCCACGGTCGCCTCAAGTAGCCAAAAACATACAAGTTTCATTTATATAATTTTTCAAGGGATCTTATATCTGTTTTCACTCTTGTATGCTTTTCATGCAAGTTTCACACAAGACAGAAACAAACTTTATAGGATTTATATAAATCTTTTCCATGTGGAAAACGCTGCTGAGACTGTGGAGAAGAAAGAGCTACGACTGCACAGCTGTCCGTCCTTCTTTGTTCCTTCATTTCTCCTCCAGCAGAACATTTGATTCAATTTTCTTTTCATTTGATCCCTGTTGATAGTTTCTAAACACACATACTTAGTTCTGTTAAATATTGTTTCACTGTTAGATTATACAGATGATAAGTACTTTTTCTGATAAGTCAAAAACAGAGCGCCAGCTAAACTGGAAGAAGTTGATGTGTCAGATATAAAAACTTGAGGAATGAAGTCGCAGATACTGACAGTAGAAACGGGTTTCTTTTGAAGGAGGGCTGGGCTCTCCCTCAGAGATAGGGTGAGGACCTCGGCCATTTGAGGGACTCGCAGTAGAGCGGCTGCTCCTCCACATTGAAAGGAGTCAGTCGACATGGTTCGGGCACGGAACCGAACATCTCCTTGGCGAGGAGCAGAAAGTGGATGGATGTGATTGTTGCACTCCGGTGGAGATGGTCGGTTAATATTCGGGTCCTCTCACTGAGACCATTTTTTTCCTGTGGGCTCATTCAAGGTAAAAATCCTTGACCTGAGACAATAAACGTTTCCTCTCCTGTGTTCTCTGAGCTGTCCAGAGGATCAAGAAAGCTTTTACATGTTCCTTTCATCTTGTGCTGCTTCTTTATTTTTTTCTATTTTCTCATCTTTTTGCTCACCAACGACGTGGTTAAAGCGGACGGCGGGGAGCTCCGTCCGCTTATTAAAAGAGAAAAAAAGCTGGACATATGGACGGGCAGCAGCTGTAAAGGAAATAAACCAGGGAGAGGAAATGAGCAGTCTCTGTGTAATTGAACATGAAACTGTGTGTGTCTGTGTGTCGTTGACATAACTGTTGCCGCATCGCCAGTCTAATATCCAACACACACACAAATATGTGCACTTTCATGCACCAGCACACACATTACAGGCTGAGGCAGCAGAGAAAGAGAGCGCTGCTTCTTCTTCTCTGCTGTTGTAAAAAGAAGTGTTTTTATGACAGCTTTTTTTTTCATCTACTTTTGCAAACTGAGGGAGAGACGAGCGCAGAGTTCAGACTGTGACAGCCAACAAATGTTAACACTTGGTAGTGAGCACCACGCAGACAGTAATGCTGAGTCATGCAGTCGCATTTATTCTTAAACTAAAATATTTCTGTCTTACTTCCTGTTGTTTCCTAGGAGTGGAGCAGCTGTTAGCACAGTGTTGACCTCAAGCTAGCCTTCCAGTTTTGTTGGTTAGTGTTAGCTAAGACTTGTTTGACATAACCAGACTGCAGAACTTCATCATTCATGTGATTGTGTATTTGTGCTCCAGAGCACAGCCAGTATTTGTGGCTCTTTCGTCGGCTCGATTTTCCACCGCAGCCACCGGACAGATGTTGCAGTCGTTTGAAAACTAAAGACTTTGTGG